CGAAATTTTGTTTATAAAACTGCTTTATATGTTCTAACAAAAAAAATTCCTTGCGAAATTTTGGTATAACCTATGCCATTTCTTGACCTTAATCCTAACCCTAATATGATATTTATTGCATTAAATCTTTCGCTTATTCGATTGTTTTGCTTTCGCGTATTTGATTGTTTTGATTTTACGTACACCTGATCTTTCGATCTAATTGGCTAAAAATCACGTTTCGGTGGGTTAGCTACTAAATATCTAATTCTTGGTTATTGCCCACTTTGTGGACAATAACTATAACATATTGATCTGCATCAATAAAGTAACAATTTCCACAGTTTTCGTCGAAGGTTTCACCCTATTTATATCTATATCGTGCTCTAAATTTACTATTGCCCTAACACACGACTCACAGGATTTGCGCAACGGTTTACCTTGTTACAAATATATTTTAAACTAATAAATTTGACCAATCATCAATAAGATGCAATTTACAAATCATGAAAAAGATCTTAAAGTATTTCGTTATTACGTTAGTAATCTTTCAATTTTAAATGATCGTCATTTTAAGAAGACAAAAATTAAACACGATTTATGATAGGGATACTGTTGTATTCGCTTTAAGATTTGCAATTTCATCGTTAACATTGGTTGGTTCTTATTTGAATTTATTGAATTGTTTTTGTTTATGGGGTATATATAATCAATTTTTCATCGCGATATTTAAAAATTTTGACTTGAGCAAGGTATTAAGTATGTTACGTTTTGTAGTCTTATTTGAAGTTAAAGCTAATATTCATCGCGTTGCGCAATTAGAAAAATCGCGATTTTTTACAGAGACTTTCTGAAACCGCCGTAATTGTTATAGTAATTACTATGAATACAAAATTAGGCTAATAGTTTGTAGCTCGCATCTAAATCACATGTTTTGAAATTTTTTAAAGTGGCTGTTAAATTTTACCCGAGTTAGGTTTTTGCAACATTGTAATGCTGGTTGGCTTTATATAATCCTAAAATTTAACAGAATTATCTAATGAACTCATTCTAAACATCTTTATTATAAAAATATAAGATAAGAAATTGTTTATCCTCTTTTCTTTTTTTCTATAATTGGTGTACTAAACGTTAGGATCTCAATTTCATTCTTTTCTTCTATAGTTTCGTTATCTTCATCTTCACTTTCGTTGTCACTTTCGATTTCTTCATCCCTATCGTCATCATTAATTTT